AAGTATTTTGGGGAGGGGGTACTTTGTCACAGGCATGAATGCCACTTTCAGTCCCCTTCGAGAGAGGTAAAACGGGGTATAAATAAATATAATATAATTATAATGATGATGAATGACTCACCAAACTAAAAATTACAAGGTTCCACAGGATACAGACAAGGTTGTTAAAGGAGGATCACTGGTCTATAATTGTACGCAGGCAATTCCTGAGTTACAAACATACGACTTACAAATGACTCATAGCTACAAATGGGGGGAGATAACAGGAAATTAGAGAAATCTGTTCCTAGGAGGTAAAATTCAATTCTGGAATACTTATCATGGGAAAAAGTTGTCTCTACTGAAGCTTTCTCACCAATCCTTGTTTCCATAACAAGCCATTTCCCCAAAATCCAATTAACAGAGGGAAAGGAGGTGAAATTTTCTGAACAGGGGCATAGATAGCAAAACAAACTCTATCGGAGTGTTAATCCTTTCCTATGCTACCCAAAGCTAATATATATACATTTTGGCTGGACCTACACTGAAAAAAATGTACCTGTTCCATCTTACAAACAAACTCAACTTAAGGACTAACCTATAGAACACATCTTATTCATAACTTGGGGAATGTATATGAAATGGCCTCTAATTTATCCATACTTCACATTTATTTGTCCATAAATGTCTGTGGCAACCTTAGGTTTGGTGTTTCCCAGTGTGTTAACTCATAGTGTCAATCCCATGGCTTTCCTCAAGAACCTATGGGTTTCCTCATGATAAAATAGCCACTAAATTTTGTTAATTAACAGAGAATAATTACAGAATCAAAGGCAACACACTGCTAGAAGTATCATGGCTTATTGCCACAAAACTAAAATTAAATTAAATTAGAGTATTGTTACAGCTCCCGTTTTTATAAATTGGGAGAGAAGGGACCATGATGGTCAAAAAAAGTTTGGGGGGAATTTAGGTTAGAAGTTGAAATCAGATCATCTTATAGAATATCTGTCTGTCAAAGCTACCCAAATATCATCAGCAGGTACTAAAAACCAGTGTGAAACTGCATTTGCTGTATTATGTGTCGACAGAAGCACATTTAATGCTTCAGACTGCAGTACAGCATCATTGATATTTTTGTAATGAAATGCAATACAAAAGATTGCTATAACATTGCTTTCAAATGTCACAACATTTAACTGTGCCAGATTTCACTGCATAAAAATAATTTTCCATTTCCATTAAAATAAAAACTGTGTTGTTTTAAAAGTAAAACAGCCTAAAGGAGCTTTCTAATACATCTCTAATAATAATTCAGGAACTTACACATCGTTTGTATGCTGAAAACAAATCTCTGGGCCCCAACAAATAGCAATGTTTGCCAATATTTGTTATCCTAAGGGTAGAGAAAACTTCTGGAATGCAAATCCCATTATCCTTCACAATTTGCGACTCTGGCTAGGTCTGAAGGATTACAACTGTTATGTAGGTACAGAGACATTAGGAAACTAAAATGTTTGTAGATCAATTCTTGTTCTACAGCACATCCCAATAAAGCAATACAAATGGATTAGTTGTGGCTGCTTGTTTATACTTTTTTTCAGAAACCAAGAAGAGGGATTGGAAAGTGGTAGGTGCAAAAGTAGAGGATTCAACTCAAGAATGAATGGAATGTTTTCTATGTGTGAAAGGCAGTTAAAGGCCCCATCTACACAGCCATACGATGCATTATATGAGGTATTGTAGATGAGGCCTAAGATGCACAATTGTGAAAAGAACAGTACAAACAGGTACATTTATATGGGGTGACCCAACGAGGAAAAATAATGTCGGTTTTATATAATGGGAATGTGCAATGTGAAAGTTTTATTGGTTGGAAGTGTTTATTTGAAAGAAAATGAAGAAAAATGTATACTTATTTGTTTTTGAAGAAATTGATTTTGACAGAGTTAGGGGAAACTGTGTTGCCTTTCTATAGGATGTTTGTCTTATCTGAGCAGAACACTCTAGGTTCCAAAAGTATGTTTGCATTAGGAGGGCAAACTCTCATCTCTGCCTTGTAGTCCATTTCTTGAAATTTCTCAAAAGTCCAATTACACCCATAAAACAGGAAAAAAGTCTGGATGATCCCTGGCCTAAGTGAAATCTCATTGGCCTAAAAATAACAATAGGCAATGTTTATTTATTTATTTACTGTATTTGTATACCACCTTTCTCAGCCCGAAGGCGACTCAAGACAACAATTCAATGTCCCAAAATCATAAAATACTTAGAGAGTTTGTAGCTTACAGAGCAAGTAGTTTCACTTTATATGTACTATATTATTTTATTATGTCAATTCTGTATCTGTGTTTGGTCACAGTTTTTATATTTGTGTATCTTTATCTATGTAATGTATTGTATATAATTGTGTTTTTTACTTTGTTGTATCCCACCTCAAGCCACAAGGAGAGATGGGTAAAAAACAAAATATATTCTTCTTACTCTTCTTATTTTATAAAAGTTTTTACCTTCAGTTCTCTAGTTTTCTAACCTCAACCTTGTTCTGAATCAATCTCAAAAATATTTGAGAGACCTAAAAACACTTTACCAACAGTGAATATCAATGAGTGTTACATGAACCAAGGCTAAGACCTGAAACTTAGGGTAAAAATAATACAATGTACTTAAAATTTCATGATAGCTGTAATTTTTAGAACTGTTCATGATTAAATTTTTGTTTGCTCAGGAGTCTGAACGAGTAGAAACAGAGCAGTGAGTTCCCAAGTAGCAATATGGCTTATTTTCAAAATAATACAGAATCAAACCTGTATGTCCCAGTGTGCCGTCACACCCAGACACTATAAAGTTAAAACTAAGATGTGCTTCTCTCTTTATCCCGGTGAACTTACTTAGAAACTCAGGATTCTCAGCAACTGAGGCCACTCTAGATTTGAACATCAAACAGAACATTTATTTCTCAAAGTCCTTGGCAGACTTGGCACAGCTTGTTGCAGTTACAAACACAGTCAACTTGTGAAATTATATAGATGTTCCTTCCTTTTTCCTTCAGCTGCTGAGTTAACTTCCCCCAACGGTAGAAAAAATCCTGGGATTATTTACCCTAACTCTGAGCTGCTATCTTTAGAAAGAACAGGCCTTCCCCTATCTGAGCTCAAGGTTAGTTTGGGGATGAAGTGATAGAGCCTCTCCCAATGGCAGAGAAATCCTGAGATATTCTCTGCCCCAGCAAGTCTTCCCCTATCTGAGCTCAGCACCAGTTTCAAAGGCAAGAGGGTAAGTATGATGGCCTGTCCGAGCTGCCTAGCTTGACCACCAGCACATCTGAGGCTTTTACTAAACTGAAGAGGGCAGGAGAGCTTCTCCAAAATGGAGATCTCATCCTCAGGAAAAAGGATGGTCTCTGGACCAAAAGATGCTTTTTTAAACCAATAACAGCAGAGGGCTTTGCAAGCTGGCTTTAAGCCCCTGTTAATACTTAACTTTCAGGGTGCTGCTGAGACTGTAGCAACCCTGGAGGAAAATGCAAAAGGATGGTATTTCATGCAACTAAGGGGCAATGCAAACCAAGCTCCTGCAGGACGGAACACCCAGTTTATTGAGATGGCACTTATTGTCCTATTTCACAAATAATTACAACAGGTGTAACCCAATGCTTCTAGAAAACTTATGACCACCTCCACACCAACACACATAAACCTGGATTGCTAAAGTATTCAGGAATTAGTATAAATTTATAGCACAGAGAATCACAAATGCTTCACATCTACATCTCCACAATTAGTACAACAAATTTAAGTGGGACTTGCAGAAAGTTCCATGAGACCTAGGGGAAGGAAAAGGCCTGCATGCTCCTGCATGCTACTCAACTGAAATGACCTACTAATTATCTCTGATTTCTGCTTTTTCTGTTGAAACAAAATTATAAGAGCCAGTTGCACTAATCCACTCCTTTTCTGTTTATAAGATCATATTTGACAAGAGGTTCTCATACTACTGGTTGTTAAATGGTGCTGGCAGTGGCCTTGTTTCTTCTTGCAGCACTGAGTAATAGGGAAAGCCTTGAGACAGCTGCAACCTCCACACAGCTGCATAACCCTATTTTCATCAAAGGTGATGCCTATGCAGAAAATAGTGGCAGTGAATACATCAGTTGGCATTCTCCAGTTTATACCATTTATGCTATCTTTGTGCCACATCCTAAGCAGTCTAGGGGTGCATCTACACTGTGGAACAAATGCCCTTTGACACTACTTTAGCTGCTATGGCTCAATGTTTTAGAATCCTAGAAATGAGGCACCAGCAATATTTTGCAGAGAAAAGTTAAAGATCTTGTAAAACTACAGCTCCATGGTTCCACAGCACTGATGTGTGGCAGTTAAAGTGGTGTCAAATTACTTTAATTCTAGTGTAGATGCACCCTAGTAGGGCAAGGATTTACCAGAATTTAGATGCTGCGGTTGTGGAAAGGACATCACAGCAAAAAGTTGGAAAGCCTTGTTACATAAAAAACTTCTGGATCCAAGCCATAAAATATACATAAACAAAAAATCAATGCTATTTATTATATAAGCTGGGATACATATTACATGTTGTTTTTCAAGCTTATCTTAGAAATCCTCTCAAAATCCTATGATATAAATATAATATCAGAAGACTACATTGAAAATCTGAGGATTACTCTTGATTTGCTTATCCCATCACAAAGGTTCACAGCTGAGTTTAGTTTTAAACCAAGGGTTCACAGCTTAGATTTAAAGCTCTTAGTCCTGACTATATGCCAATTCAGGAAATATTTATTTTATTGCATTCTATTCTGTTCCCAGAAAACATTCTAGATCTCTTGTGGTAGATTAAACTTCTCAATGGTCTTTGAAAAGTTACAAATATTAACCTTTTAGCTTATAAACTATGTTTTTAAAAACTGACAAGGTCACACAATAAATGAACATTTTAGAATAATATTTTGGCATCACCTTCATCCAGTATATACAAAATGGCATCCAAACAGGTACACATACCTGCACATTTGGTTCGGGTGATAAGTGGAGGGCCTGGCTGGCCAGTACCGCCTTCCCCAGGCCTGGTTAAAAGAACACGGATCTCGTATTCTGTGTCAGGATCCAAATGCCAGAGCTTGTAAGTTGGTGCATTTACAGCATGCGTTTCTGTCCATGTCCCAGTTGTCATGTGATATTCCACTTCTTTCAGGATAATGGGTCCATCCCCAATAATGGAATTAGCATTCAACTGAATCAGCAAATAAGTTGGTCCAACTCCTAGCAACTGTGGGGGAGCTATTGGCCGAGGAGGTTCTGTACAAAGGGGGAAAAAAGCAATAATTCAGAAAGAGTAATGTAAGTATAGGTCAGCATTTTAATATATATATAAAACAGTGATAAAAAGAAATATACCCCCAATCATAAAATATAACTAAATATATTTTAATACTATGTAAAATTGAATTGAGTACCAGAAGTCTGAAAGAGTGGATAAAATGTAACTATGGTGTTTCTGCTTAGAAGTGGCAATATATGCAAGCAACTTATTTCATGGAACAAACGGATTGTCTAGAAACACGGTGACTTCATTTTCATTCCAGATGGCTTATAGTTTGGCTAATTTGTTTCAGTTAATTAGGCAACGATGCTAAATTCAAGGCACACAGGGTTTTTGCAATCACAAGCAATGTAATGTAGTAACTCCAAAATTTGGTTAGGCAGCTAGAAAACCTATTTTTATTTGACCATTAAAAATTGATTAAAATTTCCTGCCCATGTTCCATGCCATTTTTCTGCATGTGTTCCATTCAGGTACTTTGAAATATCAGTTAGCTGCTTTCTTCTGTGCTACTATATAAAAACCAGGAGCTCTGTAAGAATACATTGTGAAATTCACCCACTACATCAAAATGAAAATTAAAAACAGACATCCTCACTTTTCTGTAGATTAGAGTTTCTCAAATGACTTGCCTGCAAGTTAGCATACTGTATATGCATGCTTTCAGCTAAAGCCAATTATCAACAAACCTTATGACTCCAGACAGAAACCCATTTTCCATCTAAAAAGCCTTCTCTAGGATTACATTCCATCTCACTAGCTTTTACTACAATAATATGCGAGAGGCTGTTCTTTGTTCAGTATGGCCACAGATTTTTTTAAAAAACCATGTATGTCATCCAAACACACATACCTCAACATTTTTACTGACGAAGAAAAAACAAGATGTGCCACGTTGGAATTTTGTAAGAACAAAATCCTGGACATTTAACAATAATGTAGACTTAATTGAAATTTTTTTTGTAATGCTACACTGAACATCTATTTGACATTTCTCCTCAACTGCTCCCACCCCTCACCAAAGGGCTGGAAAATAGCATGGCAACTTCGCTGGGGGACCTTCTCTAACACTTTGAAAGCACCATCTACTCTAACAATGGTGTACTAATTTGTCCAACAGGAGTAGGAATTATAGTCCTCCTGATGTTCCTTTTTAAAAAACCTGAACAGTATAGCCTCTGAGGAAAGATTATAAAAGTGGTTACAATTGTCCTTTTCTAGAGAGCCACCGTTGTCTATCCCTGTTGTAGGAAAAGAGAGCACTTGGATAAAGAATAGAACAATTGTCCAGAACAATTCTGAACATTATACTTTAAAAGGACAACACGCCATGCCAAGTTTTTCCTAATGAAGGTTTATTATTATTATTATTATTATTATTATTATTATTATTATTTATGCTGGCTAAGGCACTGCTTTTGGTTTGTTTTTGTTTTTTTTAAAAACCCACAGTACCTATATTAACCTTTATCTTCATCTTTCGACACCTCACTTTATGTTTACTTGCTTTTTTAACATTGGCAAATTGTAAACTAATTCCATTAATTTGATGAAGGGTGCACACTTTTATCCGTTTTTCTTGCCTATGGACTGTTTGCTCACACATGCACAATCTAAGGTTTGCCTATGGAAAGAGTGGGATCCTCCTTCAACCACTTTATAATTGCTTGTAAAAGCTCTTTTAGCTTTACCACACATTCAGAGGTGATCTATATTGTGCTGTTTACATTTTTGTGGTGAAAACAACCTGGGTCTCACTTTTCAACCACTTCCCTAAGCTGTCATATAGGTGGGAGGTTTCTGAAACTCTTGTTTTCATGGATTATCAATCCAAGCAGCCAAAGGCATCTATGGGGATGGTAGTGGTGATTGCAGTTTATGATTAGACTGCCCATCTTCTCCATTTCCAACTGTAATAATATGTGTGTAATGCAACATACCAAGATAATGTCTTACTTCAGAAGCATGATCTATTCAACTAATATGCAGTACTACAGAGATCCCATTAGGACTCTTGTTCTTGCATATTTTGCTTCTATTGATTCTTGATCACCAAGCAGAACATTACCCATTACTCATTGGTCCACAATCAGTTTCTCTATCTTTTCCAATTATCTTTTATTAAATAGAAAACTACACGTAATAATAAAATGAAATGATACATACACCAAAAGCAAGCCACATATTTGAATATAAATTACAAGCTAAGAAAAACTATTAAAAATCAAAAAATATATACACATATCTAATACACTAAGACAATAAAGTGGATTTCCAACTATATTTTCTGCAGTTGAAGTTAACCCTTAAAGACAATCTTATCTAACTTTGTAGATGACACTTGGGTCTATATCCCTAACTCATTTTAATTAGTGAAGCTAACAACCATCAAGTCCTTCTTATTTCTCCCCAAAAAACTCAATTAAGAGATTCTCTTCTTTCAGAATCATTGTTAATGATTTTTCTTTAATTAAAACAGAAAGTGTGTCTATTTTCACTATTCTTCTTTAGTAGGTGTTAAGCCATTCTAGCCTATAATAAGTTTCTGTTCACGATGGTAGTAGCTTCATTACCTATCCTGTCTTGCTTTTCTAAGCTTAAAAAAATAAGTAGTGCTATGCTGCAATGAAGAATGAAAGGACCAAGAAAGCAGAACCTCTTCCTCTGAACATAAACTGGCCTTATATTGAAAAATGTGTGAGAAGCATCAAGGACAGCATAAAGGTAGAAGAGAGGAAGAATCTGTACCAGAATAACACTGGATTTAGCTATGAACTTTCAGTAAACACTTCTGAACAAAAAGTAAAATGTTCAGGCTAAGTGACTACCATGAAAGCCTATTTCCTTTTTTTCAGCAAGACCAGCTCTACTTTTAGACTAATTATAGAAGCTGCATTGGGTAAGTTGTCACAAAAAGGAAGAAAATGGTAAGCTATTTAATTTCTTATTGCAGTTATACAAATGGATACGGTACTGCTTCTGGGACATTCTATCTTATGTACCAAAACAACACAGCTTCAAGTAGTAGATACTTTAGCATAGGAGGCTACCTAGACATATGCAGATTCACCTGAAGCACCCTGCAGCTCATTGGAACTGCATGAAGGGGAAAACACATAAACAAGCAGATACAGACATCCAACCTAGGACCTCATCACATTGAGGCCAAGAAGCGTCTTCTCCCTGCTTCTCTGCACTGCTGGCAGGCTGCCAGAATGGAGTCCTGCGGAGCCCATCATACAATGCAGGGTAACTTCCGGTGGGGCTCCATGCTGGGAGCACATAGAAATAGAATGTACACTCCTCATACAAGAAAGCCAGAGGAGGCAAAGAGGGAACAGGCGATAGTGGGGAAACATTGTTAGAAGGCATACCACAAACCCTGATGACCCCCATCACCCCATGATTTCCCCCACTGTGCTCCAGCTTTGGAAGGACCATTTGATGAGCCTTACATAGCCAACATTTTCAAAATCCTCTTTTTTCTGGAGTAACAATAAATGGACCTAGTTTGACTTATGTACACATTCAGCTTAAATACAAACCTATAGAACCTATCTTGTCCATAACTCAGGGACTGCTTGTACTAGTGTGATAAATTTTTAGTGATATAAGAATTCCCTAAGGTCTTTGAACTTAATTTCAAACAAACTACTGTACATTTAATGTTAATTTAGATCTCTGACTCAATCTAATTGTAGCAATGAAGCTAGGATTAATTATGACAGCTCATTTGCTGTGAAATCAAATTGTTAAATATCAATATAATGAATTCATAGGTCAACCATGTCAAGAACAAACACCAAATTGCACAACATATAATTCCATCAGTTTTGTTTACTAACATACAATTGGGTTTTTAAAATTACTGTGAGCCCTTGGAACCCACAGGGGTCTGTTTCCAGGATTCCCCATAGATACCAAAATCCATTGGTCAGGTCCCAGTATATACAATGTCATGATCAAATTATATAAAATGGCAAAATAACTGTTTGCTTTTGGGATTATAAAAATGTTTTCTAATTATGGATGGCTGAATCCATGGATATGTAATCCATGGAGATTTGTTGTAAATTAAAATACAAATTACCACCTGCAATGACCTGGTGTCTGTTGGGAGGCTTTTGATATATCAATACTAGATCAATACTAGATCCAGCTAAATCACTTCATTTTAAAACACCTCAATTCCTACCCCTCAGATGATGAAGGGCAGATAGATAGACATCCCAAGTTATGCATAATGGTGGATGTTTATTAATCTGTCTTTAGTAATTTGAGACAGCTTTTAGAAAACTGTATGCTGTTTCAATTTAATCTAAGGAATATATACTTTGGTTAACATGATTATATGGAAAATGTATGCATGTCTAAGGCTACAATATCAATACATATAACATTTTTCTTACAGTGAAGACAAAGCATATTCATGTATTTCCATATCCATTTTGTTTCCAGGCTCCTGAAGACAAGGAGGCATTTATAAAGTCTCTTCATGTTTCATTAAATTATGCATGAATTTTAATCAGTTATTAAATGAACCAGTAATTGTTCTGAAGCATTATTAATATTCTTCATAACACAATACTCTATCAGAGCCAGAGGTGTGATGCAACTAAGAATCCCAAAAGTACACTAAATGACAACTGAACCATGCAATCCCAATATACCAGATAAACTTTTTTGATGTTACCTAATTAACTTTCCCATTAAATGCACTCATTCCCTATTCTAGAACTGGAGCTATCAAAAATCCCCCAATTACAATTTTAAAATTGCAGAGTTTACTTTTACATTGCCAGTAACTTGAAACTTTTTTGCACCTTTAAATAAAATTCAGTGAGCAAAGTTTGAGGCTCTTGGAAGTTGGGTGTATAGTACACAATTTTTACCTGGTCAGACCATAAAAACTTAATAATAGCCTCTAACAGCTGTATAAGAGGATGGGGAAATCGCTTCTTGTGGTATCCTGACT